AAAAAACCTTTCTGAGATTACAATTGAGATTTACATTAACTCTATAAATTAATTTGGGGGAATAAACATCTTAATATTGATCTTTAGTCCTTTTATACATGTAAGGAGTGATCAAAATTTATAGTAAAGGTAGGATTTTAAAAAAAAGTTATTACGGTAAAAGATCCACTGCCATTAATTCCCCTAAAACATACCTCTCATACATTCTCTGAACATACTTTTTCCATTATCCTTGCTACTTTCTGAATCGGTTTTGGAAGTCCTCTTTCATAAGTGTCTTTACAAAGTGTGGTCAAGGTTAATGCTTCCACTGAGTGCCATCCAACAAACGGTAAGCTCATAAAAACATATTTTGTGTTCTTCTCCACCTTACTCTCTGGATCTAGACATCCATTGGGGGGATTTTGAAACAATTTCCATGGATAAAGCGGCGTACTCTATGAGACCTCTAGTGATGTCCCCTTTTCATTCCTGGTATAGGTGATTTGTGGCATCTCTCCCTTTTTCTTGATTGCTATAGCAGAAATTATTCAATTTCATTGAGGTTTTTAAAGAATTAGATTTTCAGCCCACAGCTTTTCGCTATTTTGTTTTAGTTTTATTCCTCCCTATAACTGCTTTTGGTTATGTTCTCTTTTTATTTCCATCTTCCTGAACATGGAAGCTAAGATTATTGATTTAACCCCTCTTGTTTTCTAATGTTAGCATTAATGCTGTAAGCTTCTAAGAACTACTTTAGTAGTGCCCCACAAATTTTGATATGTTCTATTTTAGTGTTCATTAAATTTAAAATATTTTCTAATTTTCCTTGCTCTTTTATCCATTGGGTATTTTGTTAATTTCCACGTATGGTAATTACCAGCTAATGATTCGAATTAAATTCTGTTTTGATCCCAGAAAGTACATTGTTTTATATTAGTTCTTTTACATGTCCTGAGGTTTGTTTTGTGGTCCAGAATATGGTCTGTCTTGGTGAATATTCCATGTGCCTCTGAAAAATACATTTTGTAAATGTGCAATTTGGTCTATTCAGTTGATATCTTCCATTCAGTTCAAATCTTCCATATTTTGGTGTTTTTCTTTGATCTTGTTCCACTGATTAATTCTTCCTATTCTTTTCTTTTTAATGTTTATTTGTCTTTGTATTTAAAGTGGGTGTTGTGTGGATGATGTAGATGGATCTTGCTTTTTAAATTTGGTATGATAAGCCAGGCACCGTATTGCATGCCTGTAATCCCAGCACACAGGAGGCTGAGGCAGAAGGATCACTGTGAGTTCAAGGCCAGCCTGCACTACATAGTGAGACCTTGTCTCAGTAAATATTTTTTTTTGATCCGATAACCTCTCCTTTTAATTAGGGTGTTTAGATACTTTCTGTGTAATCATTAAGTTTGGAGAGAAAAATATATATATATATATATGTGGTGGGGGCGGTTATTCCAGGGCATGGTTTAGTTTTTCAGTCTTGGTACCGTTGATGTTTTAGGCCAGATCATTCTTTGTTGTTGGGAAGTTAACTGTCTAGTATACATTGTAAGATTTTTTTTTTCTTAACAGAATTCTTGGCTGTCACCTAGTAGATGGATGAGAATAGCAGCTAGTTCCCATGCCCAATTGTGAAACCAAAAATGTCTCCAAACGTTTTAAGGGTTCTCACAGTGTGTGTATGTGTGTGTGTGTGTATGTGTGTGTTGGGGGAAAGTTATCTTTGATTGAGAACCATTACTCTAGTGTTCAAAAGATTTGTCTTTACTTATCACATTCTTGCTTTAAGTAATATTTTGCCACTTTGTATGTCATGTAATAACCTTTTAACAGTAGAAGGAAGGGAAAAAATATATATGCACACACAGGATAGCTAAGATAATTGTACTGCTGATTTCTATTGGTTTATTGAAAGAAACAGTTAATGCTTCAATTTTTTTGACCAATTTTGCATACTTATATCTGGTAATTTGAAGACAGTATGCATTATAACAACCATTGCTGAATTCCTATCATCTTGTTTTGTGAAATTCTGTACAGTGTCTATCTTTTTAAATTATTTTTTTATTCTTTAAAATTAAAAAACGGCCAGGCATAGTGGTTCATGCCTATAATCCCAGCACTCAGGAGGCTGAGGCAGGAGGATCATTGCAAGTTTGAGACCAGCCTGGGGTACAAAGTGAGCTCAGGGCCAGCCTGAACTGTATAGCAAGACCCTGTCTCAAAAAGACAAAAATAAAATAAAATAAAAACCAAATATTTAGAGGTGACAGTCCTGCAAGAAAAAAAAATTTGCACCTCCCATTTTTATGATGTTATACATTTTATTTCCAAATGTTTTAGCTCCACAATACACTGTTATTATCTTTTGCTTAGTTGAATAACCTAAAGAGAACAAAAAAAAAGAAATGTATTTCTGTTTTTTATGGGTCTATTTTTTCTACTAGTTTAACATATTGTTATTTTAAAATCTGTGAGTTTTAACAGTAGAATCATTTCTGATTCTATTGTTTTTTCTTTGTTGAAGGTTATTTTCTTTTGCTTTTGTGCATACTTTACAACTTTTGATTTAGTGTCCATCCTCAGAAGATAGACAAGAGATACTAATGTGATCCTTCTGTAGTTTTTCTTCGGTCAGGCTGTTGAAGACTGAGTCAGTGTATCACAAGCTGAATTGAATTTGGGCTTTGCCATTAAGTTCAGTGTACCACAGGTGTCAGATTTCTCCAGCAGTTGGCTATTGTTCCCTTGTATCTAGAGCAGTGATAGTGAGCTTTTTAGAGAAGTACCCAAACTGCAACTCAAAACTCACTTACTTGTCACAGAGTGCCAATTATACCTGAATACTGAGGTTTTAGTTTAGAAAAAACAACTCATATATTAACATCTTTCGTCTTTATTTTAAAAATAAAAACAAATAGCATGAGTGCTATAGGTTCACTACCATAGGTTCTCACCATGTCTAAAATACGGCATATGGTAGATGCTACAGAATTTTTTTTTCTGTATTCTTATATCGCCTTCATCTTTCAAAATGTACATTGGTACCACAGAAGGTTTTGTCTTTATTCTGCTGTCCCTCTCCCAGTGATAGACTTTATTTGCTTCTTTTTGCTTTGTTTGTGGGTAGGATGGCTTCTTCTTTGTTCTAGTCCAGACAGAATGGTAACTAGGTTGTTTGTTCCTAGGCGCTGGTGTTTGGGTTTTATGTGAGGCTAAAAGAAACTTTGTAAAGCAAAGGAAGGTGAGAATTACTTAATGTTCACTAGGAAAAATGCTAATTTGGAATACAAGTTCATTTTAAAGCCAAATCTCACACCATATATCATGTAGAATGCAGTTTCAAAAAGTTAGTTCTTAGAAAAGTGAAAATTAGGATGCTTATCCCACCTCTAGCTGGACTAGAAGAGGCAAAAGTTTTGAAAGAAAAGTGGTATGAATTATGGGAGAAGGACCTGAGTAAGCACATATAAATGGATTGATGCACAGCGTTCAGTATCCCACAGAATTTGAAGACCATAGTATTACAGCAGGATCATCCATATGGTTATGTGATTTTTCCCCATCTAGTAGACAATTGGATTGCCCTAGGATTAGGAGTTTGAACATGGTGAAATAGAAAAAAAGAAACATTCTAGATGGATTGATAATTTGGAAGATATCCAAAATTTCGAGACTAGAGACAGTTCGGCAACTGGAGTGGAAAAGAACAGGAAGAATACATCTAAGGATTCAGTCTGGACCTAGTTTAGAAAAACTAGAGTAAAATACTGAATGACCAAGAGGAGGGTAGTACAGCCAGATGGGAAGCTTCCTTCAAGCAAGGAAGGAGATGGTGAGTTAGAGTCTGGAAGTATTATGCTGAAGAATGTTGATTCCCTACCTACTGCCTTACCTTTTACTCCAGAGGGTTCTTTTTGAGAGCCAGGTTTGTTTCAGTGGTTAAAGGAGTAAAGGGTGGTGAGACTAAAGATACAGACGTGATTTGTTTTACTGAGTTAATAGGAGATTTCCAGAAATTGTGAATGGAGCGTAGCAGTGGGGGAGTAGCTAGGGTGGGTGAGAAATTAGCATTGTAGAGATGAAAATAGGAGCGAGTGTGATTGTCCAGAATGGTTGATGTTTTGAAAAAGCCTAAGGATGACAGGGGTGGGAGCCACAGATAAAATGAACTAGTCCCAAGTTCCTAAATTCACTTGTGGCATGTGATTGTCTCTGGAGCCTGATCTGCTCTGTTATTCTGACTTAAGGGACTGTTAGTTAAAGAGTTTAATCATGGGTGGTAAAGCTAAAAGCCCTTAGGACTCATGTTTCTTAAGAAGGCCTTATCTGCAAAGTCCCCTGTTTGGTGTTAGTTTTGAGGTGGTGTAGGAACATTAAAGAATACCATTAATTTGGTAACTCCAATTTGTAATACCCACTGTCCCGTGATCCAGATATAAATAGAAGCTATGATACTGGGTACTTCTTTATCTCAGAGTTATCATCTGCTGGGACACCTATTTCCTCTTATGGTTCCATTTTACCTAAGATTGAGGGCACTGCAGCTCATCTCCCAGCAGCTCTAATGAGTAAGCTGATAGTTTCTGAACCCCTTGCCTCCTTGGGATACCAAGGAAACCCCAGTTTGCTCATACCTCTGTTGAGGATCTGACCTTATGTTTTGTTTGTTTTTTTGTTAAAGCTACCTACTGTATTTTATCAACTTTGTAATACTTACTTGTTATACCTTTGAACTTCAATTTTTGGATTTTTTTTTTGGTACCAAGAATTGAACTCAGGACCTTGCGCTTGCCAGGCAGGCATTTGTGCCACTGAGCCACATCCTCAGCCCTGAACTTTAATTTTTTTTCCACTCGTAATAGTGACAAGAATGGGAATTGGCTTTTTTAAAACTGTCCAAAGTATCTGTGTAAGAATCTTTGTACACTTGGCAGGGAACAGTGATGTGTCACAGTATCTGATATTTGTAACTAATTCAATGGCCTAAATATGTCTTCTTTCTTCTACTTTAGATCTATCCATACTAATGGAGATGTAACCGGAACTGATTCTGATGATAAAAACAAGGACCATCAGACAAGATCATGTAGTAGGAAACTTTGCTTCCAAATGAAGCCACCAACATTAGAATTTCTACTTATTCTAAGGTATTTGAGGCACAATTTTATTTTGACTTCTTGGCAGCCATTTTATGTTGGTTTCTGTGTATAGGCTTTGCAAGTTAAGTTTTTACATATTAGAGTGGTTAACTTTTAAAGATGAGTTCACCTGTCCTTTTACACCCCACCCCAAATCAGGGGAGAAGAGATCCAGATGTCAAAGAAATACCTTTACCTTATAATTAGGAATCTTGTTAATGTAATCTTGTTAAGAAATAAATTGAGTGAAGATTAAGACTCAATAAGCTATCTAGCAGAATTAAAATAAATACCAAGTTAGTGATTTACCTTATTTATGTCCTAACTCCTGAGATTAACAGCTGAATTCAGTAGTCTGAGTCTGCCCACATATTATCAAAGACATTAGACATAGTTGTACTTTATTTTGGACTTTCCTTTCCTTTTCTCCTAAATTTACCAGTAAAGGTTTTCTATTCACTGAGAAGTGTCATTGCTACTCCCATAGGCTATCCCTACAGGACCTTTGGAATGTGATGGCTTGGTTTCACTTGGACTAGAAAAGCAAAATATGTAATTAAAGAGTCAAGTGACTCTTCTAAAACATGGGGTGGATCCTCACTTTAAAGACCACATAAAACAACTGAAAACAAAAGGAAATGCAATATTGACAGAAAACATAATACAATTTGTCCTATTTTTCTAAAGTATACACAAATTCCAAACAGGATGTAGTTAGATGTTTCATTTAGTAACAAAAAATATAGTAAAATATTGTTTTCGTTTTCCCACATCTGTAGAAAGTATGGAAAATATATTAGGAGGCGGGTCAAAGTTAGTTGGTTTCCTTATATATTTTACACAGGCTTGTAAATTAATAATGCCTTGCTAGACTTTAAAGATGAAAAGCTGAGAAAAATGTATCACTTAGTAGAATTCTTTAATTCCATTCTGTTCTGCTTTGGAAGAAGATACGTAAAGCAATAAATTCCAGAATAATAGTAAGAATTTATGATGTGGAAATCCTAAGGCTGACTTAGTCATAGTAAGTAGATTATCTCTAGAAGAGGATGGTATAATTCAGCAGTCTTTGTCAGCATCAAGTATCAGATGAAAAGAGATTGTGCTGGGCGTGGTAGTGAATGCCTGTAATCCCCAGCACTCTGAAGCCTGAGGCAGGAGGATCACCCTGGGCTACATAGCGAGCTTAAGACCAGACAGAATCACATAACCAGACTCTGTCTCAAAAAATTTTTAAAAAAAGATTGTTTTGATGACAAGTTGTAGAATTTCTCTAGCAGTTAGTAAAACGTGTTGTATTTTCCTAAGTTTTTTGTTTCATTTTGAATCAAATAGCAATGATGATTAAATATATAATTTTTCTTGTTACCAGAACCATTTTACTTTAAAAAAAAAATATGTCCTTCCTTCTTATTTTAAGAACAACAGTTGAATGTCCAAGCTTTGCAAATAATGATTCTAGGTATGTGGAAGGATATAAATTATTGTATAAATTTACGTAAATGAAGTTGAAGACATCTTTTACTCAGGATATTTACTCTGGGGCTAGGAAGAATACATTCATATGAAAACATTTATGTACAGTCATAAAATGAAGACAGCAAGTCATAATTAGTTGCTCTTTCTAAGTAATAAAGTCTGTATTCAGACCTTAAAGGAAGATAAAGATTAGGGAATAGGAAGTTCTGATTAACTGAATTTGCTGACTAATTGGTCCTGGTTGTTAACAAGTTATGATTGTACTTCTTTTTTTTGGTACCAGGAATTGAACTCAGGAACTCACACATGCCAAGCAGATGCTGTGCACCACTGAGCTAAATCCCCAGCTATGATTCTGCTTCTGAAAGTGTTACATAGCCTAAATTGGGTTGCTTACATTGTTAAATTAGGAGTTTTTAATATCTCCCCACTCTTACAGGTCATCAGAGTGCTATGTCCAATTCACATTTGTTGTTTTCTCTTTTGAAAATGAAAAGTAAAAATTTCACAATTTGTGTTGAAAGTGTTAATGATACATTTGAACAGTATTTTCTTATAATCCTTCTGAAAGGACTTTAGACTGAGACTGTGAAATTTTGTTATTTGAGGGGAATTGGAAGAAAACAAAATTAGTATTTGAGAGGATGAGTTAAGGCCCTACAGCATTTTCAAGGATATATGTGCTTTATTACAGCTTACATTAAGTTACAGTGTTAGCTTTGAAAAATATTTTGTCTGGGCTCAATGAAACAATTAACAACAAATTTCAGCAAGGCGTATTAAGGAGATTAGTATCCCCTTGCTATAGTTTTCTCTGTGGTATGAAGGAAAGAGCACAAACTATAGCTCTGCTGCTTCCATTCTACTTTGGGGAACTGAATTAGTATTTATTAGTTTCCTCTTTTTTAATAAATGTTTAGACTTGTGACTAAAAATGAAATAAGTTTATAAAATAAAATAAAGCTTTTCATTGTGAAATTAATGAATGTTATTGCTAAAGACAGAGATCATACTACTAAAGTATCATTCAGAGGTTTCCTTTTCATAGCAAACAACAGGTCAGCACACACTACTACTGAGAAACTTGTAAAACCAGTTTCAAAGTTAATGACAAATATTATGCTTGGAGAGAAAGTAAAATGAGCTTTTGGCAAAAATCCCTTATCAAAGGCATACCATCTGGAAAAGCAATTACTGTCATGCATATGCTAGCGGATACTTTGTTTTTCAGTTGAGGGAAAGTACTGATGTACAGAGAACATTTTAGTACTTGATACAAGTGTGTTACTTTTATCACTAGAAAATAACTACAGTTGAGTTTATTTTATTTTGTTGTTTTGATGATAGTGATTGGTTGATTTTTTTTAAGTTAGGCTATAACCTGATAGAGTTGTGTAGGTTCCTTCGGAAAAAGGTACTTAACAACTTGAGCTATAGGAAAGGGTATAGTGACTTCTTGAGTATGAGATTGTACTAGCATATCAATTCATACCTTTTTTTCAGAGAGACCTGGCATTTAGTAATGTAATTTCTGATTATGATTTAGTATTGAAGAAAAGAGTGAAAAATGTGACTATAAGCAGTTTTTGGCTGTTAAACCCACATCTTTTCAGGGTTTTGTGAAGAAATGGTCAGCAATTATAATGTTCTACTTTTCCACAGTGGTATATGCTAGCTTTGTAGGAGGATAGTGTTTGCACATTGGCTAGTTTTTTAGTAAAATGAGATAAATATGTCTTTACTACTGATAGTGCCATTTCTGTTATTTCAAAGGGCATAGCTTAGTATTTTAAATAGTATGAAATTATAGCTTCAGTTCACAATATAATGATTTCAGTGTTAAATATGAAATATGAGGCTCTTTTAAAAATGTGATTTATGGCACAAAATAACTCAATTTCTAAAATTTAACTACTTCCTGCATTTGATGATTTTATTAACTAACCTATCCCAGAAAAAATGGGTTATTTTCATTGTGCATGTTTAAAAGCCACCTCCAATTTTTAAAATACAACATGGAGAAATATTGTCTAGAACTAAAAGACAAGCAGAGAGTAGATTAAGAATCTTTTTGTTCCAGTTGCTCAAGTTGAGGAATTTGACTTCCAGCTTTGAGTAGGATATACTTTTTTTCTAATTTCAGCTTTCAATGGGATGCTGAAAGTAGACTTACATAAGAAGTCTTGCTGTAGTTTCTAGATTTGTGTTCCATCCTAATATCTAGACTATAAAACATAGCTAATTTATTATTTATAGTTAGGAATTTTTATTTTAGTAAAAATAAAGAATAAGAAAGAAACCAGCTGAATATGAGGATTGGTTTATGGCTTAATCTGATTTCAAACCTGGGGACTTAAAAATCTTGCAGTGAAGTTATCAAACACAAATAGAGTTGTGACAGAATGACTCAGATGCATAATTAAATGGGCTCTGGCTGGCCAAAGGTGGGACAGTGTGAGCATTAATAAGCATAACTGCAATATGATTAACCACATAAAATATATTTAAATATTAACTCATAATGGTACTTTAAAAAATCTCTTTAGTTTTCTTTGGAATATATTTAAGAACTGCTTAAATATATATATATTAAATATATATTCTTTGGAATATATTTAAGAACTCCTCTTGGCTACTTCAGGGTAGCCAAGTGGTAGACAAGAGGAAGTTTCTTCTCTTGGGAGCATTCTAATTAATAAAAGGAATGGTAGAACAGAATGTTACTATTTTATAATGAATTCCTGGGCCTAAGCAAAGAGCACCAGTGGTTGCTGGCATTACAGGAAGATAAACACTCAGACATTAGATGAAAGCTCACAACACAACCTGTGAAGTAGCTTTGCCAAAAAAGAATTACCTTGTGCCTGAATCTGTTCTACCCATTAGCTCTAACTACTGGTTTATAGAAAACACAAAGTACAAGGAATCATGAAATGATACAAGTATATTGCTAGCAAAATGTAGGCTGTAGGAATTTCTTGGGACATATGACTTGGTTTTTTCAGTAAATAAATTGTAGGGAGACAAAAGAACAGAAAGGAAACTTTAGATTAATAGAAATGTTTGGACTTTACGTAGTCCAGATTTTAATATTAAAGAATTATTAGTTTGAGGTGTGATTCTAGTATGTGGTTATCCTTTGAAAGTTCCTTTATAATAGGGGCATATATTGAAATATTAATGAATGTAAAGATGTGCTTTGGATCTGCTTTATCATTATGTAGACTACAGGGGGATACTATGAGTGAGGATTGAACAATATTGGCCATGAGGTATTTGACCATTTTTTAAGTTGGATGCAGGATTTGGAGCAGTGAGTAGGAGAGGGAAAGAGGGTAGATCACCATAATTTTCTTTAAGCTTTCTTGAAAAACTTCATAAAAGAAAGATCCAAAGACTTATAGTTTCTCTTTGTTGGCTTATAAGAATACAACTGAATTATGTATTTAGCAGTCCATTGAATTTTGGGGGGCAAAAATGGGGGATTCAGTATCCAAGGTCTCACAAATCCAGCAAGTGCTGTACTGCTG